CACTCTTTCATTGCACCTGCTGTTTCATATACATCTTCACTTTCACAATAAACAGCAAGATAAAACTGAGTAAAGAACAGCAGGAGAGAAAGGACACACACACACACACACACACACACACCACACAACACACACACACACACACACACAACCAACAGTTTCAAAAGTCACCCTGATCATATTCTGGTTTGAAGAAAAATGTCCTTGATATAAAGACCTCTGATATTAAAAACAATGTTCAGCATCCCTCCATCATGTATTATGTGGGAAATATCTCATATTCTGTTTGTTTTTTATTAATAAAACAAGAGGCAACATGTCTTCAAACTGGCATTTAAAGGGTTAAAATCCTGAAAACTAATAAACATTTGGTAGGTTTGAGCAGAACTGAAGTGGTTTAAGAGATGTATGCAAAAAAATCAGAAAAAAATATTGATATATGATGATTTTTATAGCATTTTCTTTCGGTGTCCTTTTTTGGACGCGAGGAACCCCAGAGGGTACAAAATGTGTTACCAGTGTATAATAGACCTGTAACAGTAACTGACACTAGATTTTAAAAATATATCAAAAAAGACACTTTCTTGCAGAAATCCATACCTTCAGCTGTAACACAGCCAAAATGATCAGCTAATCAACAGCAGATAAAACTGAGTAAGAACAGCAGGAGAAAGAGGAGAGAAGAGTGGAACCTCATCCGAGCTCAGAGCACACACACACGCACGCACACACACGTACACACACGCACACAATCAGGACCAGGATTATATATAGATTAGAAATACTCAACACCTCAGGTAACAAGAGTCAGTTCAGCTCAGTGGTCGACACTACTGACTTTGGCACAGGAGATCCAGTGTGGACCCTTGTGGTTATATCAACCCTTAAGCAAGGTTGGTGCTACTACTACTACTTGGTGCTACTTGGTGAGATCGGATGTTGCTCTGAGAAATGAGCTGATGGAACAAAACATAGGTAATCCCAGTGAGAAGGGCTACATGATGTGGGATATATGGATGATCTGAAACCCAGCATCCAGGCTGACAGAGAAACAGCTCCTAGACCAGTGTTCCCACATCCACAACATGCTACGGCAAGGCGGAGCCAGGACGAAAGGTCAGAGAGGGATATCATCATTCTCTCAACAATATACAGTCACAACACAACACCCACCTCTCTGGAGTCTCTCCGTTGACTACTCTGCTGACTCTGCTGACTACTGTAGTAGTGACACTGCATAGCAGGCAGGGAAGCATGTCAGCAAAAATGGAAAAAGGAAGTGCAGATTTGAAAGTGAAAGCAATACAAATATTAATGACTTACTATTCATAACAGTAATTTAGTATCTAAAATAATATCTAAAATCTAAAAGCAACAAGCCTCTACACTGGCAGCTGTTGCTTTCTTATGTGATAAATACAACCAGAGACAGTAGAGATAGATGATCTTTGATGAAAACCTAACTGCAGAAATGTATCCTCGGATACCTTCGGCTGCCACTCCCTGACAGAGGCACACAGCTCTCAGTAAGGATTAAATTTGGACCTGACTGAATTATCGTGTGTGTTCACTGCCCTCTGCTGGACACGGCTAAGAACTACAACATGATAAATTTGTAAAATTTGCGTCAATGCATCACTGGACAGCATAATACTTCCGATATGTAGTTTCAAAATACAATAACCAAGCGGAAACAAAGAAACAGAAATGATCATGTAATAAAATATAGATACAATAATTTTAATGATAAATAATATAAGTCTACTAATCATTGTTTCTGATTACTTACATTTGGTCACTGAATTATTTGTATTTGTGTATTTGTGTTATTTGTGTTGACCAGAAGTAACAGTATGGCGGTTCCTATTAATTTAGACACTTGATGACTACACAAATAATAGAATTTGATAAAACATAGATTGTTAATATAGATACAATAATTTAACTGATAACTCTAAATAATATTTCTAAGTCTGTTTCTGATTGCTTCCGTTTGGTCTGTATTATTTTGAGTGTTCACCGTGTGTGTCGTGAGTGTTTGATAAAAGATGTGCTGCAGTTCCTCCTGTCGCCACAGGAGGGCAGTGGACACTCGTTATTTTACAAACATTACATTCAGTCTCGATTTGATTTGAATACACTCGGCTTTATACTTCACGCTCAAAACAGATGTTTGTTAACAGTTGATTATATTTTTTATTAACAGTAGAAGCATTTAATGTGCTAATAAAAGTCAATCATAATCATTTAAAAGATGTATGAATTTCATAAACACACAAACGAATAGTAAAATAAATGACCTGAGAAGAGAGAAGCTGAAGGTCACAATAACCTGAGTCAGTGTAGATCAGTCCTCAGCAGTGATGAAGCTGAGCTCCTCTGATGAAGGATCACATCACTTTATTTCTATCTGCTGTCCTCACTTCATTCACAACATCCATCAATCAATCAATCAATCAATCAATCAATCAATCAATAGGCTGCAGGTGGAGAGTGAATCAGAAACAGGACAATTTCATCACTGTTACATATTCACTCTGTCAGCTGATCAGATTTAAAGAATCATCATCGTTACCAGAGGTTTTTATGTCACTTCTTCAATCTTCATATTGATCTTTGAGAATGAACCTGATTCTGACACATTCATTGTTTCACATTTATAAAGCTCATGTTAGACTTTGTTATGAGCTGTAACTGTCTGTAATGTGGTGTTTAAAATCACATGGATAGCTCTGCTCGTAGCTCGCCGACAAATCTCTTCTTTGTTCATATCATGTCATTTCTATATTCATACATCAGTTTTAAAGTCTTTATTTTCATATATTCAACCTCTGAGTGTTTTCATGATATAAAATAATGAGTGAATGTGATGAGTCCACTGGGAGCTTGTTGGGTCTCCATGTAGAAGAGCTGAGTCCAGCAGGAAACAGACAGCAGCTGTTCTTTGTGTCCTTCACTCTTCAAACTCAACACAGACTGTGTAGAAAGAGTTGATGAGACTCAGGACCAGACTGACTGAAGCTCGTTTGGTACAAAAGAGTTCAACGTCAGAAATGACAGTCGTGAAGTGAAATCAGTGAAATCCTGCAGCAGATAAACACTAACAACAGCACTGATTTAAAAGTAAAATTCATTTAATTTAGTTTGAAAAAGTTTACAAATCTTTCAGGAATTGTTGATTCAACAAATTATTTTCATTCATTAATACAGAAATACTATTTCAGAGTGTGACAAGAGAAGTTCAATGATACTGAATCATACATTAAGAAAACACGAGGTAAAACAGGAAAGTGTCTGATGGTCTAAATGAGCACAAAGAGCTCCCTCTAGTGACCGTCCTCATTAACAACAGTGTTAACTCAAGCTTTTCTCTGGAGATTAAATCCAATGAAAAAGTGTCAATAACAGGCAGCAAATAACAACAAGCTGTAACAGAAATAAAAACAGTGACTGTACATTAGAGTTTCATGTTTAGAAAAAACAAACATTAAAACTCTTTGTTCAAAGTTAAATCTCTGTGTAAATTATAGACAAAGTTCAAGAATCAAAAATACAGTTTTAACAGTTTTTCCAGACAGTAAATGAAGAAAATTTACAACAACCACAAACAGTCGCATCACTTCCTGTGAGCTGCTACAGTTTCGTACCATCAGTCAAGAGTGCATGATGGATAGTCAGTAAAAGTAGACAAGATTCTCAGCATTATTTCATGAGTGAACACAAGTGCACGTTCACATGCTGTCTGACACAGTTTAACAAGGTGTCCTTTCAAAAATAAGATAGGTATTGTTGGGTCTGAGCTCTACCTCATGACGCTGGACACCAATATGTTGGATTTCGGTTGTTATCAATTTATTGGCTATCATAAATTAAGAAAATATTAATATTAAAAATATTAATATTAAATAATAACTTTAAAATTAATTAAAGTTCACGGGGCACCAGCCTAAACTAAATAGGCAAAATAGCCAATATGGTTTTAGTCTCAATTTACTACCATTAATCGGAACTCTGATTAACAATTAGAGTTTACTCACTATAAACCAAATTACCAAATCAACAGTAAGTTAAAGTTGAAGGATTGGAATTCTACAAAGTAGAGGTTGGCAATATTCCACGCTTGTGCAACATTAAACACACCAGTAGTTATACTAAAGGCATTTATTACAATGAAGCAGAGTAAAACACAATGTCTGATCTAGTATATACAGGTGTGTGTATGTGTGTGTGGTGGTTTGTGTGTTTGTGGGTGTGTTTGTGGGGACACAAAACAAAAGGCAAGGATGGCCGATTTCACAGTGGTCACTGTGACCACATGACCTGAACAAAGAAGAACTACACAGAAGATGGCGGTAAACAAAGAACACATATTCTCATAAATGCCGCTGGAACCACCTTGGGGTGTGTGGTGAGAGGGAAGGTTGTGAGGGTTTCTTTGTTAGCCTCAGCTCATGTAATCTAAACGGTACCTAGGTTAGAGGGGGAGTGGTAGCCTTCATGCAGAGTCCTAGAAATGAGACGTAACTTACCAATGTGTTGAACATACGAGTACTCCATTAACTGTATGACTGACACACAACCCTGAAGCAGAAACATCGTACAACAAACAAGACATCACATCAACAACGTACACTTAACAGAAGTTAGATCTCTGAGCTGCTGGTAGTTAATGCTGTGCTGTGCTATGCTGTGAAAGGTTAGGCCCAGTCAGTATATGTACCAGTCCTGGAAACAAGCTAAAGAGGTCCTTTCCAGTGGTTGGTGTAAAGTCCAGTGAGTTGGGGAGTTTCCTGCTGGAAGTCAAAAGTCCCTGTCTGCTGTGTTTGCTTTAGTGGTTTATTCTCCTTTTGTTCTCCTCCCACGAGTTTAGCTGTTTCCATTGCTAACTCTGCTACGACTCCTGTTGCCTTGGAAACAGCTGGCCTTGTTGTCGTAGCTGGCTGATTCATGAAGCGGGAACTTTTGTTCAACTCAACATTAATCGCGAAGCCAGGTTTCACGCTGCTCTTGAGGAGAAGACCGCGGTTGCAGGCTGCCTGGTAGCGGGCCGGTGAGGCGAGCTGGGTGTTCTCAGGTAGCAGAGCTCGCACCTGGGCCTGGGGCCTTGTTGCCCCTTGCAAGAAACCGAGAGGCAGAGACTGGGAGCTGCTCTGCCAGAAGCAAGCCAAAGGGAGAGAGAGGGAGCGCTGCTTTGTTGTTTCTAGCAGGAAGTGAATTAATAAGAAAACAAATCAAGAAAGCAAGTCAGAAAAAGCTGCTGTCAGTCCCAGTCCAACAGTTAGAGGAAGACTACGCTTCCCTGACTTGCTGTGTTTGGTTCTCCAGGGGTCGTGTCTGCAGGGTCGGGTCTCAGGTTCAGGCCGATCCCCTTCGCTTCTCGCAAAGAGACGCAAACAAATTCTGCATTGTTCATGTAAGAGAAAAAAACATTTTCATAGATAAACTAACAGGAAGTAGCAGCAACAGAATTAAAGTTGGTAAATATTTTCCAGATTTCAACTGGAAGCAGTTTAAATGCAATCTGGTAGAGAAACGTTCGTACTGGATCTGTACTTACACCAGAGACGTTGAGCCCACTCACGATTTACCGCAGAGCTCCTCCGATCAGAGCGTGACGCACCTGACACTGGTACATCATCCTGAGTCCTCAAGTCCTCAGGTCTGGAACACAATTGAAAGTCTGATTCGTCCTTCTCTCGAGGAGACGTCTTTGGCTTCACACTGGCTCGTCCTCGAAGAACTGTCATCCTGGAGATTCTCTGGGTAGAACTACAACCCTCATGTTAAGAGGTGATACAGGCACTGCTAGGCCTCTGGAGATGCAAGTAAACAGCTGACTAGAAGATTAAAGTAGATGGAAGGTTGCCAGACATGGCAGGATAACGTTGCTGCGTGCTTGGTTGCTTGAAGCGTCTTTCACTCCAGTGGTGATGTTGTGGTTCTCGCATCCGGCTGAGTAGGAGCTCGTGTGTCACATTCACTACACAAATGTTCCTGGTTTGAGGACGACAGAGAGGGAAAGTGAGGAGCAGACTAACTGAGGACTTGTATCAGTTTCTAGAATAATAAGTGAAGGAGTAAACTAACCAAAGACACAGGAGGTCAGTGTGAGGAAGCAGCAGGATGCAGCAGATCATCTTCTCTCCTGTGAGAGGAGAACAAGAGCTGAAGAGTCAACAAAACACATTTCCTGTTCAAAGATGGAACTTTAGAGCTTCAACTGACTTCAGAAGTCACAATGTGTCAGTTTGACTCAAACAGTGTGTGATGGACAGTTCAGAGGACGATGAGATCGATGTGATGTATTTGATGAAACATCGTCAGCAGCATTTTGAATACCCTGCTACACCACATAACTCCGTTTTACTGGTCCTGTCGGTGAGCTCTCATTAGCAAACTCTCAATCACCGTGCTGGTTCAATATACATTCTTCACTTGTCAGAATAAAACCAGACAGATAGAAAGCTGAGTAAGAAACAGGCTTAGGAGAAATGAGCAGCACAGGCGACACCACACAGCACACGACCACACACAAAGAGCCAGCAGACTGACACTACACACACACAGCCTCAGGACCAAGAATTTTTAGTAGATCAAAAACTATACGTCATGACCTTCAAAGTAACCTATAGCCAGTTCAGCTCAGTGGTTGACAAACTAACTGGACTTTTGGCACAGGAGATCGGAGGGTTCGAGTTCCTGAGGTCATGGGAATATGTGTGGACCCTTGTGGCTATATCAACCCTTAAGCAAGGTTTGGTGCTACTTTGGTGCTACTGTCCTTCCTCAGGACGAGTGAGATCAGATGTTGCTCTGAGTTGCTCTGATGAGATCTGATCTGAAAACCCAACATCCAGGCTGAACAGAGAAACAGCTCTACGACCAACAAACATGCTACGGGCAAGGGGGAAGCCAGGACGACAGTCAGAGAAGGGATATCATCATCTCCTCTCAACAATATACAGTCAACAGTTCAGAGAGGGATATCATCATCTGCCTGCTCAACAATACTGCCTCTCAACAAACCTACCTCTCTGGAGTTCGAGTTCGGAGCCCTCGGAGCCTCGAAACTGTGGCTGCTCTGCCTCTGCTCCTCGGACTTCTGCGATCTGCGATCTGACTTCTTCTGACTTTGAGGCAGTGGTTGTCGGCTCCTCTCTTGACTTCCGCTTCTTCTGACTTGTTGACTTGGTGGTTTACAACACTTCAGGAAGTGTTTTTGAGGTTTGTATTCGGTGACTTCCGCACATCAACCCACATGTGTTTTGAGGTTTTGTATTCGGTTTTGACTTCCGCACATCAAATAAAAACGTTTTATACGTGGTTTTTGGGGGAATGTCAATATATACATTGTTTTCTCAGTGAAATGAAGGGTTTGTGTTTCTCAGAATTCTTTAAACTTTGTGGGTACTGCCAAACACTCATGTGTATTCTGTGGGTCTGTCAGTCTCAGTAACATTGTAGTCATTAAAGCACATTGGCTTTGGCACTTCTCGTATCCGCCTGCGGACAAAAAGAACAGAACAAAAAGCATTACATCTCCGTTAGAAGTAATGTCTCGAAGCTGTGGTCTCTCTGCTCTCTGCTCCTCGGACTTCAAACAAGAAATAAACTTTATTACAACACTGTTTTGCTTCAACAGGAGCATAAATAAAGAGGAAATAGACATTAAACACAGGTCCAAACAATGAATAAATTCAAAAGATGTATAAATTTCATAAACACACATAAAGAAATAGTAAAATAAATGACCTGAGAAGAGAGAAGCTGAAGGTCACATAACTGGTGAGTCAGTGTAAATCAGTCCATCGGCAGTGATGAAGCTGAGCTCCAAAACAGGAAAGTGTCTGATGGTCTAAATGGAGCATAAAAAGAGCTCTCTCTAGTGACCGTCCTCATTAAGAACATGTTACTCAAAGCTTTTCTCTGGAGAATTAAGATCCAATGAAAAAGTTTGACAATACAGGCAGCAAAATAAAACCCAGTGGCTATAGTTGAAGGCGAATAGTTTGAAGGGGAAGTTTGAAGAAAAAGAAGGAGAATTGTGCAGAAATGTGAAGGTCAGGGGGGCAGAATGCGGAAAATGTGAAAGGTCTGAAATAATGATAATAATAATAGCGGTCAAACATAATGCGGTAAACATAATGCTTGTAACACCGTACTACACACACCAGTCACTGATTATTTGGAGTGTTCACCAAATAGGTTCCTATTAATTTATTCCTATTATATTATTTCTGTTTCTGAGTTTCTAAGTATGTTTTTTCTGATTGCTTCCGTTTGGGTCTGGTATTATTTTGAGTGTTCACCGAAGTGATAGTATGGCGTCTCCCAATTGACGCAAGTTTTTGACAAAAAGATGTGCTGCAGTTTTCCTGCCTGTAGCCAGCACGGGAGCGCAGCGGAGACACTCGTTTATCTTACGATACATTAGCGTTTAGTCTCGAATTTGATTTGAATACACTTGGCTTTATACTTCAACGGCTCAAAACAGATGTTCGTTAACAGTTTACAGTTTTTATTAAGCAGTAGGAAGTATTTAATGTGGCAATAAAGAAGTCAATCAGCTTCCTTTTAATTATGCTCTGTGTGTCGTTATTCCAGTTTTTGACCCTGCCCAGATTCGTCCGTCTTGGATGTAGTGTGGACACTTGCAACAGATGACTACACAAATAATGGAGGGGAGCTACACTAGTTTGCCTGCTTACAAGTTAGAAAAATTAGTTGAAAAATCGCGTCGTAGATTTCCAGGTTTTCTCTGGTTACAGGTTGTAGCTGGGATGCTGTGTCAGGAATGGGAAACCTGTTTGGATAAAAAGAAAACAGAAGCCGAGTGACAGAACAAGATCAAAGCGGTTTTTGGTAAGGTGCCCATCTAGTAAACATTAGCACACCGATCGCCTCTGTCCTGTAACATGAGCAAGTCCACGCCAAACTACTTCTGACCAAATGGAGTGTTTTTTAATAACTTGTGCAAGCACCAATAACTCGGTCATGCGCCGGTTTAAACGACATCATTTTATCAGTTCCAGCTCTTTTCAGGAGCTTTTCTTCAATTCGGCATCAATATGCTCTGAGAAGTAACAAGTTTAAGGTTTTGTTGTTTTTGATTAATTTGATCTCACATGAGGCCGGAGCCAACAGTATAAATCGTTGTGAAATTTAAGCAGCTATAATCAAAGTGGTGCTCAGCTGGTTGCTGCCGATAATAAAACCGAGGAGGCGAACGTAGGTCCTGGCCCTTTTCATATACAGTCTATGGTCTGGCCTCGCTGTTTTAGTAAATATATCGTCGGAAGGTGTTTTACCTGGGCGGTAAATATTTGACAGTATATTATTTAGAGTGGTAGTTTGACAGGACTGCTCCTGGGCTGGTACACTGTACATGACACAGACAGCTACAGTATGTAAATCGCTAGTTAGGTCGTTGTAGAGCACAAAAAGAAGCTGCTGTATTTATGTAATTAGTTTTGAAGTCAGGTGTTGTACTTCTTACAGCAGTGGTCCGTTTCTCTCTATTGCAGCATACTGAAAACAGGCAAAAGAGATATAGCTGAGGCAGTATCAAGATAGAGGTCTAACCTGCAGCTGGAGAAGGAGAGACTTTTGGCCAACCAGCTGCTAAACAATGGCAAAAAAGAGTGAGTACAGAAACTATAAGGGGTGATCCAGTGAAAAGCGGGGAAAAAGGAGGAATAACTTCACTAATAATAATGATGTTTGTTAAAGTTTAAGAATCATTTCACCCTGACCTGTTGGTGTCTTTTCAGCCAAGATGTATGTCAACAATTGATTGGGGAAAAATAATGTTGTGGAACTGAACACCTTATACCTAACTAGACTTTTATAACGCTCCAGGGGCCAGGCCACATCACACAAGATGATCTGAGGCACCGTTTCGCCTTTCTCCTTTCTTTTCTCTAGCAAGAAAGAAAATAAAAATGAACTGACTGGGGTTTTTAAATGTAAATTTCAAACAAATATATCTTTGTTACTTGGCTTTCAGTGTGGAGGTCTATACAATTAATTTGGTATTAAACTAATCACTTATTGTATGTTACGCATTCCTAGTCTCAGCTTGCATTGTGGATGAGTTCTCATTTATTTGGGAGAGAGATTCTGATTTTACCCCATCTCCTTGGGGTTTCAATTACAGAAAAGCACTGCTCTTCGCTGGAAAAAGAGCGCGAGGTACCAGGACCAACTTCTGACAAGAACGGAGAAACCAGAAATTGAACGCAACCTGGAGCGCATGGTGAGAGATTCTGAGCACTGGAAACCATCCACGCTTTAGTGAAACCGAAAGTATCCTCCCTCCTTTTTTTTTCAAGGTTCAAGACCTGGAGTTTGCCCAGTTGAAAGCAAAAGTCATCAACGGGCTGGAAGGCTGGGAATGCATGTTCTGAAAAAGATGCAACGAGTAGGCCACGTCCCAAAGTCCCAGGAATGTCTGTTATGACTGATGTGAATGTGATGTGATGTCATGTCTGACGCGTCGCCACGCCTCTAACCTTCTGTCTCTCATCAGGTGCCTGTCTGTTGAAGCGTAGAGCCGGATTATGGAATGAAAACCCCAAGATGCCATCGAGTACCAAAGGGTACAGTCCGCCAATCGATGACGATTTACAGGACAGTTCATTTCTTACCCTCAGTTATTCAGAAGAGTATTCAGATATAGAGAAACGGATAAATAATATAAATAAGGAGTCTGTTAGAGAATAAATGATAATGCTCAGTCCTCTGTAAATTAATTGTCAGTCTGTATTTGCTTTTTTAATCATTTCATCTGCAAAATTGTCTCCTGAAATTGACGGAGTCTTTTGGGATTGGACACGCAGTTTACTCAGCAGAGGAGGTGAAGTCTGTTCTTCTTGTTGTGAACTTTTGTTTTTTCTGGCAGCAAATAGAGAAAAGAACGCAGGACAATCTATGGCTGGCCGGCTCTTTTATCACAAGTAGGATGAGACGCTGGTTCTGCTGAGCTGGAGGCCATTACTCAGGTCCAGTCTAATCACTTGTAACTCTGTGTGGTGTGTGTGTTCTGGTGTCTGTGTCTGGTGTTCTGTGTCCTGTGTCTGTGTCTGTGTCTGTGTGTGTGTGGTGGTTTACAACTGGAGTATTTGGGAAGGTTTGAACTCTAAAACTTCAGATTAATGGGGTGTGAAAAGCCACAAATGGTGTTTGAAAGTTGAAGGCTAACAAGAACGGTCAGAGACCTCAGGAATGATCCAGCATCCCTCCTCAGCTGTCTTACAAACAATGCTGTCTCACACTGTCTGAGATTTTTTGGCTTCTGTCTCTCAGGGAGACGTCGCAGCTTCCTGAAGGATTCCTCGGACGAGCTGCCGGATGGTCACCAGAGGCCACAGAGGAGAACCAGGTTTGTTCTCTCACACAAGATCAGTTTAATGCCCTCCTTGGTTTTTGGCAGAGACGCCGAGCAGTCTCTCTGTGTCGTAGATCTTATTCGCCAGCTGTTAATTTTTTATAATCTGTGATCCTCACTGCGACTGGTGCTGTCATCAGTACCAACACCTGCCTTAATGGAGCATTGTTTCAATTTTTAAAAAAAAAAAAAAAATGATCACCTGGTTGTCACCTGATGTTTTAGCAGCTGAAACACTGAAGAGACATTTGAAATTTAAATGATGTATTTCGTGATTATTTTCATGGTTGAAAAGAAAAATTGTCCGGCTGTAGACTCAAAAACCCTGTTCCTTATCGGACGCTCAGAATCGAACAGTTGCAAATATCGCCCCAATACTGCCATTTTTATTTTAAGACGAAAGTAATCAGCTCGCTCCTCATGCCCCGCACGCATCAGCGCTGGGAGGAAGTGTGCATGGTTGTAATGTTAGTTTTTTCATCAGGTCAGTTTTGGTGGTGTGAAGGAAAGGATATGGAGCCATCACAGCTGTGAGGTCTGTTAGATGAAATCAGCCTGCAAGGAATTAAGGAAGTCATTAAGGAGTCCTGCTCTGATTGCACATAGTTTATATGCACAGCGCTTCGGCCTGCTTTTTTTTTGCCCGTAGGCTTTTCTGGGTTTTCTGACCCATAACTGCCGGTAATTTCCTTCAGACACACATCCTGTGAATAGGTCCTGAGTAGCCCGTGGTGTGTGTGTGAACATGAATAGAGGGGGATGAAGGTGAGGAGTGATTGATATAGAAACTTTTTAACTTCACAGATTATCGCAGCGTATCGACGTTACAACTTGGTTGGCTATCGGTGCGAAGAAAATCAAGTGAAAGGGTTTGGCGTGTTTTGTATAAAGGTCGCTTGTAAGGAGCTGGTTCTCCGGTTCTCTTCAACGCTGCACTGTTGTAAGTCCGGACTCCTGTTGTTGTTTTTTTGTTTCAAGAGGAGGGGGAACGTCCTAGAAGAAAGCGCAGCCGCGAGCTGCTCGCAATCCGGCATATAGGAACACGTGACTTCTGACGCTCCAGCTCAGCCCACCTTTCTCCCGCCGCCGGGGTCGCTCCTGTCTTCTTACAACACTCACCTACATAGAAACCTGACAAACCACACAAAAACAAATTTTGTCTGGCTAATTAGATAAACTCTCTGTGGCCTTTTCGAGGTGTTGTGATGAAGTGACGGGCAGTATACCGATGTTCCTCTTCTCCGTCTCGTCTGTGTTCGGCTGTTTGGTTCCTGGTGGTGCTGCGGGCTGACACGAGCTACTCATTATATTGAAGACAGTCAGGACTGGAGCAGCCTGGAGAACTGCTAGCTGAAACGCCATGAAGACCTGTGAGATTGATACTGTTGGCCTAACTCTGTGTTTGATTATTGCTCTTTCCTCTGTATTTACCTACCTAATCAATGTTTTAACATACATGAATTGACTTCACATTTTAATGCATGTATGTGCTAGCTGGACACCACAGGTGCCATTGTGGATTCAATCAGATGGTCTTCTCTCATGGGCTGGGTTTTTGCATACTTTATACCTCTATAGCAACGGTCAGTTTCACTGTGTGGGACCAGAATTGAACAAAAAGTTTGTTTTGGAAAAATTTTTTAAATTACATTTTAAAAAGAAAAAAAAAAATCTTCTTTCCAGCGAACGTCCTCGATTTCCAGAAACAATTTGCCTGTTAATCTAAATAAATCCACAAACCGTGCACCGCGTCAACATTTTTTCCATTTGGGACTAATTTTTAGCTGGGGAAGAAATCCATCTGGGAGAACATTGGGTAGAGACCTTTAAATCAA